GCTCCCGGGCCCTGCCGGCACAGCTGCCTTGCCCAAGGACAGCCCCTGTGCCGGCCGGGGCAGCAGCGCTGAGCAGCCCCAGCACGGGCAGGGGCCGCTCCTGCCCAGCCGGGCAGCGCCCACGGCCAAAGCCCACGCCACCCTCAGCCCTGCCCGGCCTCACCGGCCCTGTGGCCTCACCCAGGCTCTCGGGGTGGCAGCAGCAGTTCCCTGTTCACTGCTCTCGCTCCTGGCCTTCAGCTTCTCCCTGCTGGCTCCTGGCAGTGTCTGGCTGCCCTCAAGGTCTTCAGGACAGCTGTGGCAAAAGCAGAGGCTCTGGAATTGGTTCCGAGGCCTGGCAGAGTCCCTGACCCCTCCCTGCTCCCTGCTGGCCCCCTCCATCTCCTCAGCCCCGCCGTCCTCTCGGCAAAGCCCCAGCCCCCCCTTCAGTTTCTTCGGCCTCTCACAGGCCTCTCATCCCACTCAGTCCCTTCTGACCTGTTCTGTCCCCTCAGAGCTGGCACCCCCTCAGCCCGTGCCACTTCCCTGTCACCTCAGTGCCACCATTGCCCTCTGCTCCCCCACAGCCCCCAGTGCCCCCAGCAGCTCAAGGTCACCGTCCCTTCAGCGTCACCGCCTCCTCAGCCCCCTCAGTCTCACCGTCCCTCAGCAGCTCCTCAGGGGACAGTGCCTGGGGCCACCGGCAGCTCCCACCGCTCCAGGGACAGCCGGGGCTGGAACTGCTGCTCCACCTGGCCCGGCCCCAGCTCGGACCCAGCAGGACAGGGGGACAGAAGGGGCACAGCGGGAAAAACAAGAGGTGAAAAAGATAGCTGAGGGAGAAAGATGTAAATATGAAGCCTAGGCCTACACATTCATCAGTCTATCCATCTAAACATCAATATAGCTCTAACTACATATCTATACAAATTTATAAATATAACTTTATATATGTATAAATATTACTCTACACATATATAAACGTACTCTGCTAATCTATAAATGTAACTACATGTTTTTAAGTACAATTCTATCACATCCAAACTAAATATAAACATTTGTCTATACAGATCTATAAATATATATAAATAGATGTATAAATGCAACTCTATAAATGTAAAGGTATGTATATATAAATATAACTATACATTTTATAAATCTATGCATAAAGAGAGGGATTCCACCTGCCTGGTGCTCACAGGCTCTCCCTCAGTTTCCTTTTCCAACGCAGGGCAGCCCTTCTGGCAAGGAAGATCACACAGATATCTGGGAAACAAAGGCAACTCTGAGTCAATATTGGCCTCCCTGCGTCCTTCCCTTTGGAAGTAACTGTCCTTCTAGCAAAGCCTGTTAAAGATGGCCTGAAAGGCACACTCTCACTTGGGAATTTGAAACCTGCTCTTTCAAGAACAGGGATCCTTCCAAGTTCTCAAAACTGTGTTTCAAAACATTGAAATATTTTGATAAAGTCTCAGCACTCATGGTGCAAATGGCACCCATGAGAGCTTGAAACACAGTCCCAGCTCTCGCAAAGAAGCCCAGCCTTGTTCTTTCTCTGGGCTGACAGAGACAACAATCCTCACTGCAATGGCTGAAGCAGAAGGGTAAGCTATGAACCAAATTGGGACACGCAGGTTGGTGACACAACTCCCACCAGCTCAGGGTTGTTCCCAGCTCTCTTGCCGCAGCAGAGGACTTGGTGTCAGAGCCTCTGGAGAAGTGTGGATGGCAGGGCTCGTGGAGGTTGTGCCAGGTTATGGCATCAGCCCTAAGACTTAAGTCTTACTTTACTGGTAACTCATCTACTTTTTTCATCTTAGGCATTTGTTAGAAGTGTTCCCATTCCCCAGCTCTATTTTCCTTTTGCTTATCACATCTTTCCTACAAATGCTTTGACCCCAGTTAACTTCATCTGGCTGCTGTCTCTTTCTTCACCATAGGTTTCACAGAAACACGTATGTCCTGCTTCTCCTTACCAAAGGAAAATATCATAGTTCTCTGCAGGACTCCTCAGCTTCTGATATACTCATCCAAAACCAGGGAGTATCAGGTTCTGTAATGCCAATGAGAGCTCAGAGCCTTCTATGACTCCCACAAGGCAGCAGCTCCACCAAGAGAAAACAAAGGCATTGCTCACTTTGCATTTGTTCATTTCCAGGGCCTGTGTTCGCAGACCCAATTCCTTCTCTCCTGTTCCAATACTCTTCTGCAGTAAGTGTTCCTTCTCCTCCAGCTTCCGTACAACCTGCAGCTGGGCATCCACCTTGGAAAGGGAGACAGAAGGAACAGAGGGAATGCTCTGGTTGGGTCTTCAGAGCTGTCACTCAAGCTGCAGGCTAAAACCACCCCTGCTTCCCCATCACCAAGGAGCACACCTTCAGCTTGCCTTTTCCTCCCTGAACAGCTGTGCCTGTATCCAAAGAGCCCTAGCCAGATCTCTCTGGTCAACACTTTAAAACCTAGCAGTCAAATATTTGCAACAAAGATGTCTTAATTTTTGGACAGTGGCTTAAAGACTTGCTGCAAGACAGTGAACAGCTCCAGAGTGGTTCCAAGGATGACAGAATAGAGAGTCATAGAATGGCCTGGATTGGAAGGGACCTTAAAGATCACCTAGTCCCAGCCTCCCTGGGATAACTCCCACTAGGCCACATTTGTCTCATCCAAGCCTGCCCTCGAACACTTCCAAGGATGTCACATCTACAACATCTTCGGGCAACTTCTAGCAGTGCTTCTAGTGAAGCACCACCCTCTGAGGAAAGAATTTCTTCCTAACATCTAATCTAAGCCTGCCCTCCTTCAGTTTAAAACCACTGCCTCTTGTCCTGTCATCATAGGCTCATATAAAAAGTTCCTCTCCCTCCTTTTCTAAGCCCCCTTCAGGTACTGGAAGGTTGCAGTGAATTCTCCCCTGAGACTTGTCTTTTCTATGCTGAACAAGGCCAGCTCTCTCAGCATGTTCTTGTAACAGAGGTGCCCATTTCTTCTAATCATCTTTACAGGCTCCTCTGGACTCCCTCCAACAGGTCCATGTGTCTTGCCCGTGCTGAGGCCCCCAGAGCTGCATGCAGCCCTGCAGCTCGGGTCTCATGAGGGCAGAGTAGAGGGGCAGAATCTCCTCCCTCAGCCTGTTTCCCATGCTGCTTTGGATGCAGCCCAGGACACAGTTGGCTTTCTGGGCTACCAGCATGAGCTGCTGGTTATGTCCAGCACGTCCATCCACCAGAATCTTTCTCTGTTCCAGTGTTCTCAGTGACTTCTCCTGCCAGTCTGTGCCCGTGTCTAAGGCAGTTCAGACTGAACCACGGTTTCCAACTCCTCCTGCTTGTTACCGATATATACAAGTAAAGACAGAATATACAGGTAGAAGTAGCATTACAACAGGAAAAGGACTTCACACTTTTCCTCACCCATCTGTTCTCCATAGCAGTGAACCCGTAGGACATTTTAATGCTCATACAGCAGTCTCAGCTTCTTACAAAGACAGGCCCCTTTGAAGCCTGATGTGTTCCTAGGCTGGTGAGAGGAACATTCCATCCTGGGCTCATTTTGGTGAGGATAGTTAATTCTCTTCAGAGCAGCTCACACGCTGCTCTATTCTGCATTTTGGAGCAAAACACTGTCAGTAACACAGCACTGTTTCAGTTTTTGCTGAGCAGAACTTACACAGCATCAGGACTTTCTGTGTCTCCCGCTGCTCACCAGCAGGTTGGCTGAGGGTGCCCAAGAAGCTGGGATGCTACACAGCCAGGACAGCTGATCCAGCTGACCCAAGGGGTGTTCTGTACCCTACAATGCTGTGCTCAGCAGTAACAGCTGGGGGAAAGGAGGAAATGGGAGGATGTTCAGAGCTGCAGTGTTTACTAAATAATAATAAGGCATGATGAAGCCCTGCCTTCCTGGAGATGGCTCAACTCCTGCCTGCCACAGGAAGTAATCAATTAATTAATTTTTTGTTTTGCTTGTATGGACATCTTTGCTTTAACTGTTAAACTGCTTTTATTTCATCTCACCTGTTTTCTCATTTTGTCCTTTCTGATTCTTTCCCCTTTCCCTCAGTGGCAGAGTGAGCAAACGCCTGTGTGCAGCTGCCTAAAACAGATAACCCACAACACTTCCACCTTCTCCACCAGCTCTCTTGTCCTCTCTTGTTTTTCATTACTACCTGTGTTTTCAGTGTCAGAACCTGGTCAGCCAGCTCCTCCTTTTCCTCTTTCAGCAGCTTATGGATCTGGTTGGACTTGATACGTTCTGACATCAGCTTAAAGTTGGCATCATCCTTCTCCCTCAGCTGCTGCATCAGGCGGATGTTCTGTTCTTGCATGTCTTCAAAGGCTTGGCCTGTCACATCCATTTCTGACAGCAGGGCCTCCTCCTCCTGCAAAAGAATCACAGGCTCTGGCCAAACTGTGCCCTGGACCCCCTACAGTGAGCCTGAACATTATATTCAGAGACACCAAACCTAGTGAAGATGAAGGAAGATTCTTGGTGTCAGGGAACACCATCATCCCAACAACCACGTACTCCCTACAAGTCTGTGCCACAGCAGAGATACTCTGGATTTGAAGGTGCAGAGAAAAGATAGTCACCTGTCACCTGTCTGGCAGAATCAGTTATGACACAGTCATTGCCAGAGCTGGGAAGAAACCAACTCCCAATTCCCAGCAGCTGAACAGCTGGCCACTGTTACACCACTGATACAGCAGGCCAAAAACTCTACATGTGGACAGCTTGACAGTTTCCAACTAACAGGCTGCCAAGCCCCTTAAACTCACTTTGGCCATTTCAGCATTGACAAGGTAGAGCATGTCTCTAGAGGCATTTCAGCATTGACAAGGTAGAGCATGTCTCTAGAGGATTGGCAGAGACCTTCTTCAACATGTATTGCCTTTGAGTCTTTTTGTTTTACTAAAATGAGCTGTTGAGAGGTGCCTGGCTAAATAGCCAGACTACAAGGGAGACTGTGAGGCAGGGAAATGATTTTGGGCTCTAAGTCTTTCCCAGGGATGTCGGGCATATTCTGCTGAGATACCCTGGGTGAGAGGGCTTCAATATCCTCTGGTAGTGGTATGCTGGCTGGCAAGGTGGCCAGAGGAGCTTCTAGCCGCTTCAGCAACTATTTGATCAGTTAACAAATGATTTCTAAATGTGGGATTGTGAAGACAGTGGACTCAGGAGGGGGAACTCGTTTTCACAGGTGGATCCTTGAAGAGAGGATGGCTGCTTTGAGAATTCAATGGGACCTCCTTAGCCCCTGGCATCCTGAGAATTCAAACAGAGTAGAAAGGATGAATGGAGGAATAAAGAAACACCCTTTGAAGCTGCTGACAGAAACCAAGATGCCATGGGTACGGCTTTTGCCATTAGCTTTGGCAAGAATAAGAGCCAAACTCAAGGGAATATTCAATTATTCCCCTTTGAGCTGTTTGGGATTCTTACCTTGTTAATTTTCAATGTGGCAGGGAGGGGGAGACGTATATTTAAACCACTGTGTGGCCAGGATACCGTGTCTCATGAAATCTCTTTGACAGTGTTGAAAAGGACCATATAATACTGGCTTTTGCATTTATGTATTAGCTTTTACATGTTCTTATTGATCATAAGTATTCGGATATGGTACAATTTGTAACTCCTTCTGGTTGCTTATTAGTATAACAAAATCTATTCATTTGCCACCATATAGCTGGTAGAAATAGTGGTGTGATGAATGCATTCTATCATAGCCCTTAGCAAAACACGAGATGTTAAAATGCTCTTACATAAATAAGAAAATGCTGTAAGGCAATTATGCTTGTTTCCCCCACATCTGCTGAGCCACCTCTTTAAGTGACAAGATAACAGTGACACAAACCAGGGCACCAGAGAAGAATTATAGAAGAATTTGTTAACTCCTTCTCAGGGAGTGTGAAACAACTGGATGGAAACACAAGAAGAAATAAAATACATGAACTTAACCCGCAGGATGTCATGCAGGTAAGTCAGAGTGTAAAATCAAACAAAAGAGTTCCTGAAACATCAAAAAGCTCATCAGAATGTTCCAATAATGTATGAAATACATGGATATGCATGCACCTCAATAATGTAACAGTATATGGATAATGCTATCTTAATCTGCCAGTGTGTTCTTTGGCCAACAGCCAGAAACATCCCAGAGCTGGATATTGTCCCTTTTTATCCCCTCATTAAACTTTTAAAAATTCTAGAGTAGACTCCATTTTCCACAACAGGAAGCCCAGTTAGCACAGACGCTGCCTTGGGACTTTTGCTGCTCCTAACATCCAACCAGGACCGCAGAGACAGCAGCCCAAACGGCTGAACACGAGTGGGCCCATCACACTCAAGTCAAGGTCTCAAAAGCCCCAGAGATTTGGACTTCTCAGCGGGAAGAAAATGATGTGAGACCCCAGCTATCAGTAGCCACTGACAAAGACCTCTAGCGATTAATGGGCAAATATGAACTGTCATTGTCTACTTCATTCTCTGTATTTATTTGCCACACCTGGTGCGGAGACCAGACCTGGAAAAGTTGGGAGTGGGTGTTTCAAATGTTCCAGGTTGTGAAAAAGGGTTAGTAATAACTAGGATTTGTAAAGACAAATTGAGAAACGAGGAGAGATTGAGTAGAAAGATGTGTGCTAATAACTTTAACTGGATGGGTGAAGGTATGGGTGTTAACTTCTTTGAAACAGGTCTTAAGGTCTCTACTAATTTTGGGCAGCAGGTTTGTTACCGGGCCCACAGCTTGGCTCCTGAGAGACAAGGGTCTGCACAAGCCTGAACTTTGTAACTTTGGGGTAAAACAGGAGGTTCAAGGGGGAATACGGGGTAGGCGGTTTGGGAAGGCTGTACCTTCCCTAGTGTCTCAGCCAGTGGGGAAAGGAAGAAGCAACATGCGGCCAAGAGTTCAGGATAAAAGGAGGGTGCGCCCTCAAAACCTCGAGAGAGAAAACCATGTGGGTATGTGCCCCGATGGACTCTCCCTTTATTTGAATAAAGTTGCAGGGATTTCTCTGTCTCTTTTTTGGACATAAGCCTCTGCCATTTGTGGATTTTCATGACACCAGGGAGAGCGTAGAGTTCCCCATTTGGAGACTTCCTAAACCCACCTGTATGTGTTCCTCTGTCACCTGATCCAGGTGGGACTGCCTTGGCAGGGAGCTTGCACTGAGTGATCTCAACCTGACGCTGCGCTCTACACCTTTCCAAGCCTCGGGCTAGCCCTGGACAACTTGGCTAATGGCCGCGCCAAGAGTGGGGAACGACACAGGAACGACAGTCCACGTGCCGAACCTCCAGAGCTCCCTGCACTCGGGCTCTGTAGATCCCAGGCGTCGCGGGTCTCAGTAAAGGGATGGAGGAGGCTCAGAGTCTCTTTGTCTTCCCAGGAACAGGTTTTATTGAAGGGTAAAGGGAACAATGACAGGGGAAAGGACTGGGATGGTAAGAAAGGAGAGCAACTGAGCCCCGAACAGGTCCGTGCTTCCAAATTTAAAGAGGGGAGGGTACAAACTGAAAAACCAATCAGGACACAACCTGGGAGGAGACGAAGGAGGGGTTTACAACACCTGGGACCAATGAGAGGAAAACATGGGTGGGGCGGTGGTCACAACACCAATGGGGCCTCGAGTAGGGGATGAAGGGCATGGAAAATGCTGGAACAAAGGGCAGGATTAACAATGACGGACAACGGCTAGGGGCAGGCTGAGGGTGATAAGCAGGGAAGATTCAGGAACAACGGGAGGGGTTTACTAAATTGACAACTGGGCAAAACCACTATCTGACAGTAACAGGGGGATAACAGGAACATACTATGAAATCAAACAGAATTAACAAACAGAATGCAACATCAACCCAAACTATTCTGTGATTCAGCTTCCCACACACGCCAGACACTCCCACACCTCCTCCGCTCTCCCACATCCCGCGGGGCTCCTGCCCCTGCCCCCTTCATCTTCCCACAGCCCACCACACACCGTGGGCCTGTCCCTCCCTTCCTGGGTGTGCACTGTCTCCAGGCCCCCGTGACCCTCCTTCGTCCACACGGCCCCCTCCTGGCTCACCCCACCTTCCCCCCACCGCCACGACTTCCTCACTGCCTCTGCTGCCATCGCGCCCCATCCCGCCGGCAATGGCCTCCACCAGCACTTTGCCCTCGCCCGACGCCGCCAATGGCTGTAACCACAGCAAAGATGGTGGCGTGGGCGGAGTCGCCCCCGCCCACAAGCAGCCCTAGCGGAACAGTCACCTCCCTGCCCGCCTCTGGAGCCAGGTCTCGGCCGGACCGGGTGGAAAGGGCGTTGGAGCTGCTGAATGGGAGCGAAACATTCTGTGCCAGCCACAGTGTGGCAGCCGGGCCAGGGCAGTGGTTATCCCCTGCATTTGGCACTAGAGAGGCCACACCTCAAATGCTGTGCCCAGTTCTGGGCCCCTCAGTTTCGGGAGGAACACTGAGGGGCTGGAGTTTGTCCAAAAGAATGTCTTCAAATAGCTCTTTTTCATCATTTCCCCTTCTCCTATTTCGCCTGTCTGCTTGGAAGTCAGAACTCTTGCAACTCCAGCCAAAACAGGGAAGTGTCAGGAAAATTAATCCATAAGCACCAGAGGTTCATATCCAAAAAAGGAGACAGAGGAGTCCTGCAATTTTATTCAAATAAAGGGAGAGTCCATGAGGAATTTTTAGGGGACATAATATCCTTTTTATCCTGTTTTCCCAGCCGCATTTCCCTCTCTCTTTCCCCATTGGCTGAGCTACTTGAGACGTGCAGAATTCCCAAACACCTAATACCTAAGACCCCTTCTAAATATAACCCCCCCTGATTTCTCTTTTCCTTTGTGTCTCTATTGTTTTTCTCTAAAACCAGAGATTTAGCACAGTCTTGAGTGAGTAATGTTATAAATGTGTGATACGTAGCATGAATAAATTTGTGCTAAAGTTATAATCTTGTCTG